CCCCCCCCCCCCCCGGGAATATAACACTTAGATGACTCAGCTGCACGAGGGTGGAGGTTTCTTTGAAAAGGGCCTTTTAAATTCCTAAATGGCAGTTTTCCTTCCCTTTTTATACTTGAGCTCATGAAGTCACTACATCTTTGGGGCAGAGCTTTCAGGATATAGTCTTTTGCAGATAATAATCTCCTGTCCCTTGGAGAGCCAGCATGAGAAAGCTGGGTCAGGGAGAAGCCTGGTGGGGGACTCCCTATCAAAAGGTCAGGGATGCTCGTAGTTTCACTCAGGGGTACAAAATCCGAAACACCACTGTTTTAGCTGTCAATTTATCTTAAGGTGCACCGGAAGAAATTAAAATAAAAAGGCTCTTATTTCTGTTTTTAGGCTTGATTTCTGCTAGTCTCTCGAGCCTGGTCTAGTAGTGCATGCTAATTTCCTGAACAGCGGCTGGTAATCAAGCCTATTCTGTTTTAAGTGGTATCTTTTAGGAGTCAAATAAAGCTCGAGCTACACCCAGATTGGTCTCTTTTAGGGGTTTAATTAAAATTGTTTGACGAGGATCCCCGACCCTTTCGTATGGGAGAAGCTCCAGCTTGCTCTTGTAAACTTTTGTTTGCAAATTATGCTGTCACCTGTTTGAATTTGTCATGACTGGACTCTATGCGTCTCCACAAGGATGGTAAACCCATCCTCAGCTGGGGGTAAAGCATGAAAATTATGTCACAGTAACACACCACACATTTCACAGATGTGCAGCCTTGAAAAATTGTAGAACCACTGAGCAATCTGATCATACAAACGGCAGAACACACTATATGAGTTTTACACCACATATGTCGCCGATATACATTCGTTCTCAGTTTGTTTCCGGTTGGCTCATTACTGCCTTTGAAGACTGGGCACTAGAGAAAACAAAATGGTGGACCAACTTTGAAGTGAATGAAGGAAAAATCTCCAATGGTGGATGAAAGTTCGTGTCTTCAAGAGATACAAAACCTTATAAGCACTTGCGGAAAATCTGGACGAAAGTCATGGCTTGATATTTGTGTGAAGACTGAAGAATATTTGCAGTGAGTGAGCTTGTTTATCATGTTCATAGGTTGCACACGTGCCTTTCACTGAATCAAGGTCATTCCACTGAATTAGAACCTGATCTGAGATTCTTGTGAAACTTTGCCTATTGATTGTTTATATTATGGGAACTTAAATTTTGAAATAAAAATGAGGGGTCCTCATGTTCGTTTAGGAACAACAGCACCTTGTTTATACCCAATAAGTCCTTATAATAGCACCATGATTGTAGCCACGATTGCTTGCTAAATTCACGTTTCCGACGATTGTTTTTTGTTCTACACTGAGAATTGGTCCATATTTATTTTACACAGAAATTTATTACTCAATTCAAAACAACAGAAAAAAAATGATAGGTCACTATACTCGTTTGCGAGAAAATGACGATTTACCGCTATGGCGAGATCCAACCGAAAAGAAAAAGCCACCATTAAATGCGTGTGCTAATCACGCATGAAATTATGCACAGTAGGGATGTGCAATGCAATACTGGGGAATGACCTTAAGCTTATATTACTGTATAAATAGAATAATTTTTATGTCTGGATGAGGACATTATTTATAAGGGAAAGTATTTAGTCATTTGTCAAGGAGCAAAGTGCAGACTGCAGACCAGGTACAAAATGCAGACTGAAGACTGCAGACTAGGTGCAAAATGCAGACTGAAAATATAGACTGTTTTTTTCCTCAAATACGTGACAACATGTCATTTTATAACTAAGTGTTATGCAATCGCTTCTCTGGATTACTGGTCACCTCGCCACCAGGAAGTCTCGCCACCAAGTTAAGTCTCCTTGCTACCAAATTACTAATGATCTAATAACATTAAAATGAAATTCATTCTACTCTGCGTAGTTGTATAACTTCCACAGCTTGTGTAAGGTTGAAGTTTTTTTTTTTTTTTCATTTTTTTTATTTTAGACTTAATTTTTACTGACACTGCTTACAATACGATATTAATGTAGTTACTTACACTACTTACAAAAAACTTATTACTTACGCCACTTACGATACTAACACTTACTCTATATAATACGCATACTCACGCTACTAACAATACTAATACTTACACTGCTTACAATACAACATAATTAGATTACTTGCGCTACTTACAATTCTAGCATGGCAAGATCATACCAGTTTACTCCTGTCACTAATGTAAATTCCGAATCGCAAATTACAGAAAGTATGCATGGTATATATGCGCCTTGTTTCTTTTCCTTTCATTTCTATTTTCGTTTTCAGGGGACTAGGGTCAAGCTGTCAAGAGATTACAAAAGAGGCTGTAAGGTTGAAGTTGTATGATCATTTAGCTTAAATGCAAATGCAACAGCGAAGCAACTGAGCAGTAACAACACAGTCAGTTCTCAAAGAACTATACATGTAGTTGAATTCTAGAAAGCTATGGTTTCTCATTAGACAATGGAACAGATATTGTATGATGTCACCAACAACATGTTGACATCGAAATTTGCAGACAGACAAGCTAACAAAGGTACGAATCAATGGACATTGTAGTTGCTCGAACAGCTAATACACCTGGACTACTTTACTCTAGTTTATCTTTCTCTTGGTTTTTGGTGGCAAGGAGAGTTCTCTTGGTGGTGAGTTCGTTAGTGGTAAAATTTCCTGGTGGCGAGGTGACTGGATACCCTTTTCTACGGTCATCTTCAACAAAAATTTGTATTATTGGGGATTATCCTGGGCCTGTTTTATGACATGTTTTGTTTTTGACAAAGCATCAAGGTCATGTTGTTTCTTAAATAGATTGTGACGTTGTCATTAGTCTTCTCACATCGCAGGCGAGGTCGGTAGTAATAAACCCAAATAACATGTAATATTTAGTAAGCAATGATCAATCAGTGTTCATGTTGTAGCCAAATGCAGACTTATCGCCCACGAGCAGGCTCTTCACAGGGTCAAGAAATTAGGAAAGTAGAAGAGGAAGAAGACTTAAAGTCAAACTACCATAAAATCCCACGTTGAAGCCCCCATCTCCCCTCCAAATATAAGCCCTTCTATTTGCCAACAAAGATATTATTCCGAGTATAAGCCCCCCAGATGTAAGCCCATCTAATGTATAAGTGCATTCCTTTTGCGTTTCTTTACAAAGATCAAAATTTTTGATAGAAAGTCATGAATAGACTAAGAGTGTAACAGGATGTAAGCCCCCCATTTATAAGCCGACCCAAAACCCCTTATGAAGTTACTTAAGCCCAGGGCTTTGACGTGGGATTTTACAGCATTCCTTCATCTTGATATATTTTCAATGTTCAAGGGTGAACACACACTGATTGTTACATATCATTTAATGATTGTGTACTTAACTAGTTGCAAAACAGCAACAAGAAAAGCACAAAGTAGTCTGCAGACTGCATTTTGTACTAACTGCTTGGATAGTGGTGTAATTATAAAACTATCAATGAAAATAATTACTTATCTTTTAATGTATGCTAAATAATTTTGGGAGTAAGCCTATTAGGTTATTTTCAATTTCAGAAAATGTAGTGCAGTATTCAGAAGCTGCCTTATGTTTTTTAGTTGATCCTTCTCCAACATACATGTTTTTTGTTCTTTTGTTAGGGAAGCCTCTGTCAAGCAGAGATTGTCAATCCTTGACATAGTTTGGAAATGGATTTCAATACTTGTAAAGAAAGATGACTTTACGTCTAACAATACTGAAGAATTCATACTTCTTCTCACCAGAGTTTGGTGTACAATTTATCTCTGCTCCTTGGGAAACCTCAAACTTTGTCAAAAAGTTAAAAAGGTAAACTCAATAAATTTACATTGACGTTTTTCTTCAGGAAGACTGGATATTATTCAGTTTTACAGTTAAATTGATCCCCTGAATTATGATATCATTTTGCTGCAAGATGTTTCTTGTAAGTTCAAATGACGGTTTAAAATTGTTCACCTTATTTTTGTGTGAAATTATTTTTTTTCAACTTGCTGTAGGTCAGCTCTAAACTATGTCAACACTTAATTGCAATATTATCACTTCTTAAAATTACTGATATTTTGCAACAAAAATGCTCATGTTTTCTTTGAACTTTGAAATGTTTGGAATTCATTTGTTTTATAAAATTTCAAATCAGCAAACCACAAAAGTGAAAACCACAACATGAAGATACATGCAAGGTGCAGTATAAAATAATTTTATACCTTACCTTACCATTCAGTCTTGAATAATACTGTATTTTTTAAAATATATAAACAGCCATGAAATACCATGTGATCTTTTGTGTGAAAACATGATATCTTCACATGTGAAAATAACATGTTATCTTCACATGTGAAAAGATCACCATTGCCATGGTTACATTATGGTGTGGTATTTCATATAATAAATACATGTACATGTAGAACATTACATGTCCGCTTGGAGATATGAAATTTCTCTTCTTGTGTTGAATTTGAGAAATAGAAAACATGTACTGTACTGTGTTTCCATTGAGTTTTAGTATAGATCTACTGGTCGTTCTATCACAAATGCCATTCTCTGATTGGCTATGCTACTCGCTATCTATTCTGTGATAGATAGTGAGTAGCATAGCAGTGTGCCCTTGTTAACAAAATGAAGGCCACTTCTTGGCATTTTTGAAGTGTCTGTGATCATGAAGAGGATTTAGATAAAGTTTTGAACGACTAGTAGATTTATACCAAAACAATTAGATTATTCACTTTTGATTTCTATGTGTGATGGTTGACTCGGGCTGCACCCTCGTCAACTATCATGTGATAGAAATCTTGAGCTCATAATCTAATTGTTTAATAGAAACATGAGCGGAAGCTTTCGAAGGACGAGGAATGCTGTATGAACACAAGTGGACAGGTGAGTGTTTCCACAGCTTTTTCGAGTTCTCCCAAACTTTCATGAGTATTTCTATAACTCGATAGAAACACAGAGAACATGTTTTCTATTTCTTTTAGAAAAGTCTGTGACCAAAGCAAAGAAAACAACTTGTTTACTTTGATCATCAAAATATAAATTCTCTTTGCCCCTGCATTTATAGAAACACAATTTTAAACCAATCAGGGCATGTATTTACATAGGGCTATTTTCTAAGTAATATTTATCAACACAGTTACACTCCAAGAAAAATCATGCATAAATATATTTAACAGGTAGCTGTTAGTGATGAAAAATCACTTTTCTCTTTGCAGGTTTTCAGCTCTCTTTGTGTAATCAGACCCTATCATGCCAAATGTGAAATCAAAAGAAATATCAGTGAGCTTCTGTCCTCTCCCACAAACCAAATTGTGAATGCTGTTGAAATAGGTACCAAATGTCAATGGCCATATCCATAAAATTCAAATATTCATAATCATGATTATCATAGTAAAATTTCGGACTCGTTTTGCTTACTATAATCAAGCAGCCCTCTTCCCTGAAAGTGGTTTGGTTACATGGCAGTAAGTAACTGAAGTTAAGTGCTGTTACCAGCAATCCACTATGCTCCTACCCATGTTTATTATAAATCAGTGGTGTACATGGAATATCAGGAAAGATGATAAATAAAGCTTTTGCACATTTCCAGTTCCTGTTGTGGTGCACTGAATTTTCTGAAGGCTAGGAAACTGTTGGTTGTATATTTGTACAGTCTCAGTAGTTTTCTGTTATTGATCATGATATGCTGATCTACAGCTAGGTTTATTAAAACCACCTGGTTATTGATGCTTGTCATATAGTTGAATATAGTTCAATTATATGTATTAAGTCTCTGGAATATGTTCAGGAAATGACTGGTAACAATATTCAAATCAGTGACAATGTGACAGCATTGGATACAGACTCATGTAACTATAAACTATGTATGTTTTTTTTCTGTGATTGATATAGTTTGTCAGCTAATTGATGTTTCTGAACTTGGAAAGGAGTGTGTGGATGAGCTGTTTGATGACTTTGTTACGTCCATTTCTCATTGTTTGGACTCTTACTGTCAGCAGGTATGAAGGATGCAATTTTAAAAAAGGCATTTGAATTTGACAATCAGCTGATAAAGAGGGAAATGGTTGTACAAAGCATGCATGCCTTTAGAAATGAGCATCACGGGATGATTTGAGCTAGACATACACACAACAACCTTAGAAATTTTTCTTCTGAAATTGAAAGGGAAAATTTAATATGCTGTTTCCATTGTTATAAGGATTTTGGGGTCGGCATTGGCTGCAATTACTTGAGAACAGATCCCACAGCAGTATGTATGTTAATGTGGTGTGAAATTGCCTTTTAAGGAAAAAATGTCCAAGAGTTGATAATGAGAGTAACACCCAGCTATAAATGAAAATTTTGATAGTAGTTGTTGCAAATCTGTTTCTTTCCTTTCAGGATGCATAATTTCAGCTGTTAATGTAGTGCGATTTCAATTTAAATTAACTGAGTATTTTAATTTCCACAGTATATTCAGCACAACTCTGAGGAAGCTGGATTGCCATTTAACTCAGATGTTTTTCAGACTATTGTAAAGGTAAGTCAGTAACAAGCACGTTGTTGTGTTCACTTATGGTCAGGTTTAAAGGCAAGTTGATGGATTAACTAGAACCCAAAGAAACTTGGTTTTGTCTTCAAACTATCTGATTACAGGCAGTTCTGAAGACCTTCCAGTACTTCCCAAAGAAAGTTGGTTTGCTCATTTGCGACAGCACTGCAACTGAAGGTAACAAAAAATGGTCTTTTATATACTCATAGGTATGCTAGGTATGTTTCTTAAGATTCAAACATCAAGTGACTGTGATTTACGGGCTAAATTATCAGAAACAATTTGCATAAATTCAAGGGAAAGAGTCAACTTTGATGAAGTTTGATTAGGTTTGTAAACGTTAATTTTAGTCAAAGTGGTTATTAATAAACTTTGTCTGCATTTTCATAGGAAACACAGTCCTGGAGACGATCATAAATAACCTGTGGAGGATATTATTTTGCAAGGCTAGTTATTGTACTAACCAGTAATGGCTAAGTTACATGCTATGACTTTGTCAGACAAAACTATCCACTTCATACATGGAGCTAGGGGCCACTTATTGGGATGAGGGCAATAATTGAATCAATACCGTAATGTTAATGTTCTTTTCTTAAAATTTACCTAGTTTGAAATATAGTAGAACCCCGTTAATATGGTCTCCATGGGGCCATGAAAATTTGGTGGTACAAATGGGGTGGCCATATTAATGGGGTGGGGTCAAATCTCACAACTGGTCCACAAACTGGTCTGTAAATTGAGTGACGTCTTAACAGATATATCACAATTGCACTTCTAAACAACTGTTCTTTAATGAGCGTCTGGACTGCAGATATAAATTTTAAAAAATTGAAACTTGAATCAGTGTATGAAATATTATCAGCAGCAGGTATATTTTGCAGGTTACAGGTTGCAGGTTGAAATTTAATTATAACTGGAAAACTGCTGGCACTTAAAAGAAACGTACAGGTGGTAGACTTACCGTGACTNTTTTTGAAGAAACATCTGAAATATCATCTGAAATATCTGCTGAATTTGGTTTCTTCCCTGTGAGTACCAAAATGAAAGCACACTGAGCTTGTGCTAGTACATTCCGTTGGTTAAAATCTTATATTATTTCATTCCTTTATTTATTTGCTTCATTTGTGATGGCAATCTTCTGTTGTTAAGGGAAGACTTGAGCCAAATCTGGAATCGATGGAAACATCTGTGGAGCGCCCATCCAGATGGCTTTGAAGAGATTTCACTGGTCTCAGCGTGTCAATTGATAAGTACTTATAGTGGATCAATCGTGTTTTCACTACGTGAAAGAGGCGAACTACTTTATGTAAGAACCCCTGATGAGTATATAGGTTATTAATTACTTTTAGTCCCAGCAGTTTTCCAGTTATAATTAAATTTCAACCCACAATCTGCAACCTGCAAAATATACCTGCCGTATTATCAGTGGAAAGATGAACATAACTGGTTTGAGGGGCTGTACAAATGGGATAAAATAATAAAGGATTGCAAAGGCTGGCAGGGGTTTTGTTAACAAATTGACCGGCTGTGAGGATGATTTTGCCCACCTGGTTTGGCCATCTAAGGAAAGTTTTTCTTAAAAGAAGTTCAGGCCGTGATTTTAATAAAGTTTTGCCCACCTGTGAAAACCAATTGCCCTTTTGCTGAAAACATTAATGAAACCCCTGGGTTGGGATTTTAGAATGTGGCCATTGACCGTATTATGGGGTGGTCACATTAACTGGGTTTCCTTATAAAATAAATCTATGCCTGTTTTGCTGGGACAAATGAAAAGTGGTCGTAGTCATGAGGTGACTGTATTAATGAGGTGACTGTAAGGCAGCTTTCCACTGTAATAGCTTATGTGCAAATTCTTAAATAACAGATCCTTCATAAGGAATGTACATTTCTGTGTGGAACAGCCATAGGCTTGTTGCTAGGCATTGCTGCAGATCTGGAGCCTTGCTTGTGTGCCAAAGAAATTGTTACACAGTTATTAATTGCATCAGGTTAGTACACATGTATTAGCAAGTGTGTCTCATGTTTCAACTGTATTTTGCTTCAGTCTGTATCATCTGTGTCAACTTCACCAGACTGAATCCACCAGTCTCTTGTATGGGTCACCTAATCTGGTGGATTATATGGAGGAAAAATGTTCAAAGTATACATTTTCATACTCATCTTGGCCACTTTTGGACAATATGTGATGTGTTTTTGTGGTTGAATAGCTCTCCCTTTTTGCTCTGAATTTGGGGAAAAGATGAAAGGTGTTCAGCTTTCAGTGCCTTCTAAGCAGCACAGTTGGTTGTGTAGGCCAACTTCACTTTTTTATTAGTGAGATCATGCAAAATTAAAGAGAAAAAAATACAAAAAGTGTTTATCAAATGGAACCAATTGACTCTTTGAAACACAGATGAGAATAGAAGTAACAGCTTATTTATAACATAAAAGTAGGAAAAAAGCTGTGGCTTCTATTATTCTTTAGTTTCATTAGCTATATCACTAAAAGATAACTAGTGACCAGTTTTTACTACATAATTATACAGCCAAATGCACTATATGCCTTATGCTGTGCAACTGCTATTTTCTATTTTATATAATTTACAAATTAGTTGAACTGGATGGGGAAACTTCAAATTATGTATTAAAGTTCAATTGAAGTGTAAAATTTTCATTCATTTATTGATACTACATGCCAGTGGTTGAGTTTAATCTAATTCAATTCATTGCAGAGTTATTTTGGGATACATGTTTTATTTTACACAGGAGCATCATTCATGAAGAACCAAGCTGTACCACAGCACTACCACTCTGTGATGATTGGATGTTTTAAATTTGAGTTGCCATTAGTTCAGTACAGACCTATCACCCAGTTAGCCATTGTAATGGGCATCATTAAATCACAGAAAAAGGAAATTCTACTGGAGGTTTGCAGTTCCTGAGTGTGATTTCTTGGTTAATCATATCTATAACAAAATTCTCGATCGTGATTGGTTCTCTGCGTGCCTATTTGTGACGCAATCGGTGCGTGATCATGTGAGTGTCCAATTGCAGGTATCCAATTTGAACTTTTCGTAATTGGATACCTATAATTGGATACCCACGTAATTTTACCGAACGCTTTAATGGCTTCCTTTGCAATTTTCACAACTTATGAAAAGCACTACAAATGTTTTTGCTGAAAAGAACTTGCCAAAAGACATTTTTAATTCCGAAATTTGTTATAGATACGATTAATTAGTAATTGGACCTCGTGTGGTACAATTTAGGGAGTAATTGTGCTTGTATTTTCAAATCGGCCTCGTGCTTCGTACTCGTCCGATTTTGAAATTACTCACATGATTAGTCTCTGAATTGTACTCCACCCAGTCCAATTACTATTATTAATCAAACAGTTTTTTCTATGATTTTTATCCTGTGTTTTAAAATAATTTACCTAATGTTGTTTTGTCTGGAATGAAAATTTCCATTTAACAAATTGACGTCAGTTTTTCTTGCGTCTGTCCTGTTATTGACGATGAATCTCATCATAACATTGTCAAAGTAGCTGTGGATCCATGAGGCGATAGCTGAGTGGAGCTGCAGACTACTTTGACAGGGCCATTCCAATTCATTGTCAATAACAGGACAGACATATGAAAAACTGATGTCAATTTGTTTTTTACGATAACGGATTGTCAAATCGTGTGCGCTCGCTCGTTGATGTGTTGCATAAATTATAAAATCATGTGTCTGTCCGCATATTGACAATGAAGATAGCCAATGAATGCAGGACAATTTCTGCAGTTATTTTAAAAATTTCATTTAAGGTCAAATGAACGAAAATTTAGGCATCTTTACTTCGGTGATTTTATAGCGACGAAATGTTACAAAAACACACGTAAAAGGAAATTTATGTGAAAATTTTTCTTTCTGAGCCAGGAAAAGGAGTAATAAAGTTAAAAGTACGAAGACAGTGGATGGCTTCACGAAAACATTTCCAAAATGACTGTGTACTTTAATGGAAGGAATGGAACTGAGACTCTGCTTTGTGATGTCATTGTTGTCTTGAACATTGCTATGCTTCTGTGTCAGTGAGTCTTTCTTGGGAAATGGCCAAGGGTTGGCCCGCTGTTCGGCAGGTAGTATTCGCTTGTTTTTGGTTGTTTTTGTCCAATTGCCGGCTTGCAACATTCCATAGTGAAGTTAAAAGTTGTCTGTACTGCGTCTTTCTTGACTACAAGTTGACGAAGCTTGAAAAAGGGTCCCGACAAACTCCTTATGACAAAATTCTGTTCAAAGCTGTCTTTGGTTAAGTGTTTTACACAAATGTGCGAATGCTTTGAGGGCATGAAACATTCTCTTTTCATTTTTATAAGCCATTCTCTTTTAAGTTTTGGGTCCTGGGGGAACTTGAAAGTGCGAACTTTCATCTACATCTACATTATGGGGTCTTGCAAAGGGAGGCATGCTCCCATCACTGCAAGGCATTAAATAAAAAAAATAAAAAGCAAGGTGGGGGGTTGGGGGGTAAAAAACCTTAAAAATATATAATAAAATATGTACATAATTTAAAAAGATTACTAAGAAAAGTTAATTAAGATTAAAAAATTAGAACCCAATTAAAATGTCATCATTCTAATCTAAGAGTGTTCTTGAATAATTGACTTTTTTTAACATCTAAAACATTGTTAGGTAAGGCGTTCCATTTTCTAATAGTCCTACAATAGAATGAGTTCCTATAGCTTTCTGTGTTCGGAGTTAGTTTGATGAACTTGTCTCTGTGAAAAGATCGAAGTTGACAATTACGCCTTTTGATATAGCATGGGATTTCCAGTGCTGATTCACCATGAATAGCTTTATGAAGTAATGTGAGGCGAGCAGATTTCCTTCTGTTTTGAAGGGAGGGCCATTCCAAATCGTCAAGTAAACTGAAAACAGTTCCAGGTGTTCGCTGCCAACAGTTCTTCACAAATCGAGCAGCTCACCGTTGGACATCTTCTATTTGCTTTATATGCTTGTCAATCCAGGGATCCCACACCGGCTTGCATATTCCAGATGAGGTCTCACTAGTGCTTTATAAGCTAATTCTTTAATTGATTCAGGGCAGTTGCCAAGATTTCTTTGCAGGGAGTTAAGAGTTTGGTTTGCTTTGGTAACCTTACTGTCAATATGATGGCCCCAGTCTAGTTTAGAGGATAGCTCAATGCCAAGATATGGATGCTGTGACACTGATTCAAGGGAGTGTCCCATTAATTTATAATCATAAATAACAGGATCACGTTTTCTGGTTATCTTCATGACAAAGCATTTACTTGGGTTATATTGCATCGGCCAGTTCTTTCCAAAACTTTCTTTTGATTTTGAATAGTTTTCCTCTGAAGTTCACTGTGAATGTGAAACCAAAACAGTTTCAAATTTCCCGCATTTCTTGAGTTCACCAACAGTGACGTCACAAGCTTTATTTCCAACAATTATCCAACAATTTTCCTGACTGCTCTATGATTATAAAGGATAAAAAACAGTGATATTAATGTTCCAATATTTCTGCAATGCTTTGTCCAATTTGTTTGAAAATTCTTGTTGTGGTATAATTTGTTTGTCCTCAGATGGGTAATGAGGAGCAAACTACTCTGATGGAAGGACTGCTGTTTCAGACCATATACACTCTCTGTAAAGAGAGCAAAAATTCACCAGTTCATTATGTAGCTTTTGAAGGTAATTTATATCAGATTAAATAAACAACATCTTTGAATAGTAGATCTTATCAGACAGTTTGTGTATTTGACTGGACTGGTACAATATTTTAGAAGATTCCAGGGTAGGTCAAAAATACATTCAAACACCACAGTGACTTAGTTAACATTTAGTCTAAACTGTCAAATCAAAAAAATGTTATCTCTCTATTTGAAGTGTGTATAATTATGTTTCCCATGGTAACTGTAAATGCTTACTCAACAATGCTATAAATATTCAGGCCACAACAGTTAATATTGTTGTTCCTTGTCTATAGTGACATGTCTGCTCATTGTTTTTTCGTTTGTTCTTCCAGCCATGAGGCAGTGGCTTCTGTGCATGAAGAGTCTTCTCAAGAAGAAAGCATTCCATGAAGGTTCCAAGTGGATGACAAGTGTGGAGTCATATCATGTCACTCATCTAATTGAAATTATTTGGGAGAATCTAGAAGACCCTGTAAGTTAACAAGTTAATAATAGTCATTTATGTTTAATGTTAACATTTCTGGTTGTTGGATTTCTCAAATGTAAGGGGTACATTTTGTGGATGGGGTTGGGGTTTGGTCAGTATTATAGATTTTCAGTTCTGCTGACAGCTCTCTCTGTATACTAGTGATGATCAATTATACTATTAATTGTTTAAATTATGTTGTACAGCCTAAAACGTGTTGATTTAACAAACCTTTGTCCTGTATCTCACATAAATACGTACTAGTTATGCAAAGTTTTTGAGTGTTGCAATGGAATATGCCACAAGTCACTTGTATTTTCTTGGTATACCTTTAGGCCGATGTGTATGCTGGGAAAATATAAGTGACAAGTGGCTTTCCTGTATTCTGATTGGCTGTATTTTCCATGGCATGGTATTAATCATAATATTTGATGTGCAATAAACACTTGCTACTGAAGTTAAATTTCTATCAATTTTCTCTGTTGTATGAGTATCAAACACTAAGAGAATTTGATGTTAATTTAAGTATTCCCTGTGAAGTATTTAGCATGGTTCACACAGAAATAATGTAGGTACCGTAAAAATGATGAAAGCTGTATTTATCATGCTCAAGTTGAGAATTGTGAGCTTGTTTCTCAAATGTGACTGCCCCCATTATTTATCACTGAGCAGTACTTCCCCCTCTGACCTTTGCATATTAGTAACATAAAACTGTTGCCAATTTGCATTCAATATTTTCTCCAGATAGATGGTGTACCAGGCTTGGCAGTTACTCTGTTTAGCTTGTTGCTTGAGTTACACAAAGATGAAGAGATGGCAAGAAATTCAGTGGATGAAGCAGTACGTTTAGCAATAAGACAACACATGCATGATTCAAGTGGAAACAATATGGGACTTCCATGAACAATATGGGACTTCCATGTATCAATTTTGTCATGTGAATAATCAAGTGTAAACTATACAATTTCAAACAAAATTTATAATAATAATTGTTGTTTTTGTTTTCTTCAGTTTTACGCATCACTTAGGGATAAAGTCATAGGACTTCCTTGGCATGTGAAAGGAAGATATGGCTTGATTTGTTCACTTCTGTCTTGTATTGGCCTTCAACAGGTGACTATTCAAAATAGCTGTTATAGAAGGAATGTCTGCCTAAATAGTCTGCAATTTAAAACCATGTAGTAGCTGAAAAGAAATTTCAATATGTGGAAGGAAAACTTTTTTGACAGAGTAGATTGTTCCAGTTTAGCAGAGATTGAAAAGACAATTTCAAGAAAAGTTTTTTTGTTTTTCATGCATAGTTTTCAACCTTGTCTGAAAATTGTTTTATTGTAGAATGCCTACAGTATTCATTAGCTAACAAGGGATGAGTTCTGTAGCTTGTCCAGTGTGAAGTATGTGCCGCAAGTAGTTACATACATACATGCTCTACTGACTTTCCCCTAAGAGGCTTTTCAAAGGCAATAACTTAAATTTAAATACGTACAACAATAAAAATAAGATGGCAACAATAAAAATCTACTTTAAGGACCCTAAACTGTCAGTAGGTGACCATCTTGCTGTCTGACGCAGTGCCAAGATTCTCATTTAGGGCAGAATTATTGTTTCTGATTTTGTAGCTTTCTCTGTTTCTTGTTTGTTTTTGTCATTAGATCCTAGAAAAACAGCCTTCTCTTTTGGATGATTTGATTCGTTGCCTTGGAGTCAATCAACTGACATCTCCTTCAACAAATGCTTTCAAGGCATTTCTTGAATGTGGCAGGTACATTGCATGAGAGGATTGTGATAGTCACTTGTGTTCTGTAAATTTACTGTCACCTTTCTTTGGTTCATCTGATCTTGTATTGTAAATAAACACTTCTATCTTGTCCATTACATTTACATATGGTGTTGGACTATTAGGGTTGTCAAAATAGCTCTGGAAAAAAATCACCACCTACTTAATGATTGTGGCTGATTACTATGCTTTGCTGTTTGTCTGATTCGTTATCAGCTCAATGAAGACATGGCAAAATCAGCCACTCCCCAGTAGTAAAGCCATCTCTCTCAAAATGTTTTGACAACCCTGGACTATGAGCTTATGTTTGCTATATTGAACAACAAATGAAAGCAAGCAATCAATATGTTAGGGATTTAGGATCCTTGTCCTCTTGAACAATGAAAACTAAATTTTATTTAAGAAATAGAAAACAATTTCCGTGTTTCTACTGAGTCATAGAAACACAAGTGGATGTTTGGGTGAACAAGGTGGTGCTTCCTTTCAAGGTGTTTTCTAATTAATTTTCAAATGTAATAAATGGAAACAGTTGTTTTATTTAACAATCAGGAAGGAAAAGGAACAAACTGAGTTTGTGAAGCAGTGGGAGAAGAGTTGGCAAGATGGATTATTCAGGGCACTTACAAGTGAAGATAGGTNATGAAAAACTGATGTCAATTTGTTTTTTACGATAACGGATTGTCAAATCGTGTGCGCTCGCTCGTTGATGTGTTGCATAAATTATAAAATCATGTGTCTGTCCGCATATTGACAATGAAGATAGCCAATGAATGCAGGACAATTTCTGCAGTTATTTTAAAAATTTCATTTAAGGTCAAATGAACGAAAATTTAGGCATCTTTACTTCGGTGATTTTATAGCGACGAAATGTTACAAAAACACACGTAAAAGGAAATTTATGTGAAAATTTTTCTTTCTGAGCCAGGAAAAGGAGTAATAAAGTTAAAAGTACGAAGACAGTGGATGGCTTCACGAAAACATTTCCAAAATGACTGTGTACTTTAATGGAAGGAATGGAACTGAGACTCTGCTTTGTGATGTCATTGTTGTCTTGAACATTGCTATGCTTCTGTGTCAGTGAGTCTTTCTTGGGAAATGGCCAAGGGTTGGCCCGCTGTTCGGCAGGTAGTATTCGCTTGTTTTTGGTTGTTTTTGTCCAATTGCCGGCTTGCAACATTCCATAGTGAAGTTAAAAGTTGTCTGTACTGCGTCTTTCTTGACTACAAGTTGACGAAGCTTGAAAAAGGGTCCCGACAAACTCCTTATGACAAAATTCTGTTCAAAGCTGTCTTTGGTTAAGTGTTTTACACAAATGTGCGAATGCTTTGAGGGCATGAAACATTCTCTTTTCATTTTTATAAGCCATTCTCTTTTAAGTTTTGGGTCCTGGGGGAACTTGAAAGTGCGAACTTTCATCTACATCTACATTATGGGGTCTTGCAAAGGGAGGCATGCTCCCATCACTGCAAGGCATTAAATAAAAAAAATAAAAAGCAAGGTGGGGGGTTGGGGGGTAAAAAACCTTAAAAATATATAATAAAATATGTACATAATTTAAAAAGATTACTAAGAAAAGTTAATTAAGATTAAAAAATTAGAACCCAATTAAAATGTCATCATTCTAATCTAAGAGTGTTCTTGAATAATTGACTTTTTTTAACATCTAAAACATTGTTAGGTAAGGCGTTCCATTTTCTAATAGTCCTACAATAGAATGAGTTCCTATAGCTTTCTGTGTTCGGAGTTAGTTTGATGAACTTGTCTCTGTGAAAAGATCGAAGTTGACAATTACGCCTTTTGATATAGCATGGGATTTCCAGTGCTGATTCACCATGAATAGCTTTATGAAGTAATGTGAGGCGAGCAGATTTCCTTCTGTTTTGAAGGGAGGGCCATTCCAAATCGTCAAGTAAACTGAAAACAGTTCCAGGTGTTCGCTGCCAACAGTTCTTCACAAATCGAGCAGCTCACCGTTGGACATCTTCTATTTGCTTTATATGCTTGTCAATCCAGGGATCCCACACCGGCTTGCATATTCCAGATGAGGTCTCACTAGTGCTTTATAAGCTAATTCTTTAATTGATTCAGGGCAGTTGCCAAGATTTCTTTGCAGGGAGTTAAGAGTTTGGTTTGCTTTGGTAACCTTACTGTCAATATGATGGCCCCAGTCTAGTTTAGAGGATAGCTCAATGCCAAGATATGGATGCTGTGACACTGATTCAAGGGAGTGTCCCATTAATTTATAATCATAAATAACAGGATCACGTTTTCTGGTTATCTTCATGACAAAGCATTTACTTGGGTTATATTGCATCGGCCAGTTCTTTCCAAAACTTTCTTTTGATTTTGAATAGTTTTCCTCTGAAGTTCACTGTGAATGTGAAACCAAAACAGTTTCAAATTTCCCGCATTTCTTGAGTTCACCAACAGTGACGTCACAAGCTTTATTTCCAACAATTATCCAACAATTTTCCTGACTGCTCTATGATTATAAAGGATAAAAAACAGTGATATTAATGTTCCAATATTTCTGCAATGCTTTGTCCAATTTGTTTGAAAATTCTTGTTGTGGTATAATTTGTTTGTCCTCAGATGGGTAATGAGGAGCAAACTACTCTGATGGAAGGACTGCTGTTTCAGACCATATACACTCTCTGTAAAGAGAGCAAAAATTCACCAGTTCATTATGTAGCTTTTGAAGGTAATTTATATCAGATTAAATAAACAACATCTTTGAATAGTAGATCTTATCAGACAGTTTGTGTATTTGACTGGACTGGTACAATATTTTAGAAGATTCCAGGGTAGGTCAAAAATACATTCAAACACCACAGTGACTTAGTTAACATTTAGTCTAAACTGTCAAATCAAAAAAATGTTATCTCTCTATTTGAAGTGTGTATAATTATGTTTCCCATGGTAACTGTAAATGCTTACTCAACAATGCTATAAATATTCAGGCCACAACAGTTAATATTGTTGTTCCTTGTCTATAGTGACATGTCTGCTCATTGTTTTTTCGTTTGTTCTTCCAGCCATGAGGCAGTGGCTTCTGTGCATGAAGAGTCTTCTCAAGAAGAAAGCATTCCATGAAGGTTCCAAGTGGATGACAAGTGTGGAGTCATATCATGTCACTCATCTAATTGAAATTATTTGGGAGAATCTAGAAGACCCTGTAAGTTAACAAGTTAATAATAGTCATTTATGTTTAATGTTAACATTTCTGGTTGTTGGATTTCTCAAATGTAAGGGGTACATTTTGTGGATGGGGTTGGGGTTTGGTCAGTATTATAGATTTTCAGTTCTGCTGACAGCTCTCTCTGTATACTAGTGATGATCAATTATACTATTAATTGTTTAAATTATGTTGTACAGCCTAAAACGTGTTGATTTAACAAACCTTTGTCCTGTATCTCACATAAATACGTACTAGTTATGCAAAGTTTTTGAGTGTTGCAATGGAATATGCCACAAGTCACTTGTATTTTCTTGGTATACCTTTAGGCCGATGTGTATGCTGGGAAAATATAAGTGACAAGTGGCTTTCCTGTATTCTGATTGGCTGTATTTTCCATGGCATGGTATTAATCATAATATTTGATGTGCAATAAACACTTGCTACTGAAGTTAAATTTCTATCAATTTTCTCTGTTGTATGAGTATCAAACACTAAGAGAATTTGATGTTAATTTAAGTATTCCCTGTGAAGTATTTAGCATGGTTCACACAGAAATAATGTAGGTACCGTAAAAATGATGAAAGCTGTATTTATCATGCTCAAGTTGAGAATTGTGAGCTTGTTTCTCAAATGTGACTGCCCCCATTATTTATCACTGAGCAGTACTTCCCCCTCTGACCTTTGCATATTAGTAACATAAAACTGTTGCCAATTTGCATTCAATATTTTCTCCAGATAGATGGTGTACCAGGCTTGGCAGTTACTCTGTTTAGCTTGTTGCTTGAGTTACACAAAGATGAAGAGATGGCAAGAAATTCAGTGGATGAAGCAGTACGTTTAGCAATAAGACAACACATGCATGATTCAAGTGGAAACAATATGGGACTTCCATGAACAATATGGGACTTCCATGTATCAATTTTGTCATGTGAATAATCAAGTGTAAACTATACAATTTCAAACAAAATTTATAATAATAATTGTTGTTTTTGTTTTCTTCAGTTTTACGCATCACTTAGGGATAAAGTCATAGGACTTCCTTGGCATGTGAAAGGAAGATATGGCTTGATTTGTTCACTTCTGTCTTGTATTGGCCTTCAACAGGTGACTATTCAAAATAGCTGTTATAGAAGGAATGTCTGCCTAAATAGTCTGCAATTTAAAACCATGTAGTAGCTGAAAAGAAATTTCAATATGTGGAAGGAAAACTTTTTTGACAGAGTAGATTGTTCCAGTTTAGCAGAGATTGAAAAGACAATTTCAAGAAAAGTTTTTTTGTTTTTCATGCATAGTTTTCAACCTTGTCTGAAAATTGTTTTATTGTAGAATGCCTACAGTATTCATTAGCTAACAAGGGATGAGTTCTGTAGCTTGTCCAGTGTGAAGTATGTGCCGCAAGTAGTTACATACATACATGCTCTACTGACTTTCCCCTAAGAGGCTTTTCAAAGGCAATAACTTAAATTTAAATACGTACAACAATAAAAATAAGATGGCAACAATAAAAATCTACTTTAAGGACCCTAAACTGTCAGTAGGTGACCATCTTGCTGTCTGACGCAGTGCCAAGATTCTCATTTAGGGCAGAATTATTGTTTCTGATTTTGTAGCTTTCTCTGTTTCTTGTTTGTTTTTGTCATTAGATCCTAGAAAAACAGCCTTCTCTTTTGGATGATTTGATTCGTTGCCTTGGAGTCAATCAACTGACATCTCCTTCAACAAATGCTTTCAAGGCATTTCTTGAATGTGGCAGGTACATTGCATGAGAGGATTGTGATAGTCACTTGTGTTCTGTAAATTTACTGTCACCTTTCTTTGGTTCATCTGATCTTGTATTGTAAATAAACACTTCTATCTTGTCCATTACATTTACATATGGTGTTGGACTATTAGGGTTGTCAAAATAGCTCTGGAAAAAAATCACCACCTACTTAATGATTGTGGCTGATTACTATGCTTTGCTGTTTGTCTGATTCGTTATCAGCTCAATGAAGACATGGCAAAATCAGCCACTCCCCAGTAGTAAAGCCATCTCTCTCAAAATGTTTTGACAACCCTGGACTATGAGCTTATGTTTGCTATATTGAACAACAAATGAAAGCAAGCAATCAATATGTTAGGGATTTAGGATCCTTGTCCTCTTGAACAATGAAAACTAAATTTTATTTAAGAAATAGAAAACAATTTCCGTGTTTCTACTGAGTCATAGAAACACAAGTGGATGTTTGGGTGAACAAGGTGGTGCTTCCTTTCAAGGTGTTTTCTAATTAATTTTCAAATGTAATAAATGGAAACAGTTGTTTTATTTAACAATCAGGAAGGAAAAGGAACAAACTGAGTTTGTGAAGCAGTGGGAGAAGAGTTGGCAAGATGGATTATTCAGGGCACTTACAAGTGAAGATAGGTAAGTATTTTTGGCCTCTTTGTTAAAGTTGTGCATCCATTATTTGGTAATTGGACCTTGTGATAAGCTTATGCCGAACCAGAGTATGTTTACAGGCTGCACGTGGTGTGGCTCAACCCAAAATTATCCCTTGTATACCAACTGGGAGCTGGGGCCTGTTTCTCGCAAGCCCTGGAAACTTTTCGGGCCCGCAAAGCCATTTGTATTTAATCTGTATCTAAAAACGAAGTGGTGTATACGCCTGAAACTGCTTGTAAGAAGGGAGCCTCTGTTCACATTTAGTATATGTGGATAAAACAGCTCTGTAATCATAAGGTTTGAGATTTTGCTATGGCTTTTTGGGTGTGAAAACATTTCAGGACCTTTGAGAAACAGTCCCCTAGTCATGTTGTAAGTGGGTAATACACTTGTAGATGGTGAAGGTAATTATATTCATTTGGGATCAGTTGGGTGGGTAGATCAGCTGGTAGATCAGAGCATACTGGAATGGCAGAGTTCGTGGGTTTGAATCCCCTTCAAGCCTGAATTTTTGCAGGCTTTTTCAACTGCTTTAACTGGTGCTTAACTAGGATAATCTCTTTCTTGAAATCTTTATCTTGCAGTTAAAAAATAATGATCTTTTGTATGTTCACTAGTATGCTGGTGAAGTGGTGAGTGAGCTTGCGTCGACCAGTGTTCAACTCACCTTTTTAATTAAAAGTGGCTACAAATGACACTACAAGAGAGCAAATACACTGCTTACTTATGCTTACTTAAAAAATGGGATGAAATAATCCATACTTTACTGTATTCTGGATATAAAAGAACTCTGAACACTGATTTAGCATCTTCTGTATCCTGAAAAATGCTCTTAAACATGCTAAGATTGTGAATTTGTTTGTACTTTGTTTGTAAACAGGTTACTGCAGCAGAATGCTTCCCTTTATTGGCTTCCATGTGTACTCAAGTGCATTCCTGAATCTCTCAGCTATTTACTTGAAAAATTGAGACATGCTCATGATAAAGAGAAAACAGCAAACAAGACTTCAGAAGGGACAAGATTTTTGTCAGCTTATCTTTCAGTCTTAAAAGTCAGTCGTTCCTTGGCCATTTTGCAAACTCATGACCTGGTAAGCAATCAATTGACACATGCAGTTATATAATGCAGCATGTGCTTAAGACATGTTTGAATCTTTTGGTGACATGTTGCATAAAAATAAAATATTTAAAATGGAAGCACATTAACTCCATCCTTGTTTTCAGTTCTTTTCTAGTTTGAAATAATGGTTATTTAATGTTCTACCTCAGTCTAACTTAAATTAGAGGGATTAATTTAATTAATAATTTATTAATTAATTCTGTAGACTGCCCAGGGCTACACTTTTAAAGATTATAGCTCTAAATAGTGAAATAAAATGGAATATTAATAGTTAATCTTATTACAAGTAAAGCATTTTGTAATTTATTGGTAACATTATATTTAGGTTTTTATTTTGCAAGGTCAGGTTATAAGAATAGATGGGCAAACAAAATGCTTAATTTTTTTTATTTTATTTTTTTTATTATGCATTGTTACACACACTGGTTACAATACTTATACAGCTATGCTACTTACAAGAGTAATAGATATACTTACATTATTTATAATACTTCGTATTCAATGTAATTTACAATGCTGTACATACATTACTTACAATACAATACAATCACTTACGCTACTAAAAATACAAATGCTTACACTACTTACAATACAATACGATATCTCAAGTTGCTTAACAATACTAATTAGCATTACTTACGCTACGATTACTAAGGTCACTTGGAATAAAATTCAATTACTAATGCTACTTGAAACTTTTACACCTTGACAAAAAGCATATTTCCATTATTGCATTATACAGGCCAAGCTATATTGAGGGGGAAAATTGCAAAATCAAGTCAGTGAGCAATGCTCGATTTTCCATTGCATTTGGAGTTTGGTTTGAAGTTCAGAAATATTGGGGTTCTCAGAAAAAATCTTACAGGAATAGACATAGTGTTTCATGAGAAGCAAGAGAAGATCCAGTCTGTGCTTTTGGATGGAGGTCAACAAAGCTATTTCATCAGTCAAGTTGAATAAAATCTGTTCAGCAGAAGGACTCACATTTAATTTGTGTATATTGTTAAACCACTTTATAGTACTTGAAAATACTGAAATAGAGACATCACACTCTAGAAATGTATGCATTATAGAATCTCTCCTACATGTAGAAGAGAATTGCAATGGTCATTGGTTGCAATATTAAATTTCTCAAGAAATTTAATATTGAAAATGCTTCATTCATCAGAAATCAAATAGCTGGCTGGGTTGGGGAGTTGGGGTGGGGTGGGGGCTGCACAGGACACTGTTTACCAGGTTGGCGGTTTGTCTAATATTTTGCCCTCTTTATGTTGTGCTCAATCCTTTCACTGGGATACATGTCACTTCCTTTAACACAGTAAGCAAGCTACTGAAAGGGGTTTCAGTAAAGTTTTCACCAAGAGGGCAACTGGTTTTCACGGGTCGGCAAAACGTTTTGAACTGAAAATCTTTATAAGAAAAACTTTCCTCTAGATGGTCAAACAACGTGGGCAACGAAAATCATTCTCACAGACGGTCAATTTGCCTCATTATGACAGGTATATAATAAAATCAGATTCTTTTTTTTAATTGGATAATACAAAACAAGACAGTGCAAGGTACAATTAATAACTGACAAATCAAGTTTTCTCTCTTTCAGGATGAAAGCTGTCTACATCAGGGCCTGACTCATTTACAGGATGACATAAGAGCTACTGCACTGTCAGTGATTAGTTTTACACCCAAAACTGCAGGTGATCGAGTCACATTGTTTTCTTTGTTAATGAAAATGCTTCATTTAACTTTTCAGAGTTGGTCATTGAAATTTATTATTTTTTATGAACTGGAGAGGTGAATCTGAATTACTGTATGTTCACTGTCAATCATTCTTTGTTCCATTGAACAAGAGACCAAAGACACCAACATGGAGGGAATCGACGTAATTTCGTAATTGACGCACACCGTGGCAAATGGTCAGGTTACCATCGCATTTCCAAACACCAAGAAGAGAGTTGAGAAAACAACGCATAGCAGAGTATTTCTGACAAACTTTGAGATGTTTAGAAATGTGATCAAATGCTGTCTTGAGTGTTTGATATATCTTCTCAATCGAAACTTAAACTAGGGAGAAAGTGAAGAACTAAAATGGTAGAAATCTTTTCCATCACAGTCATGATTTCCTCAGTTTAAAGGTGATGAATTATTGCTAAGTTTGAGAATGCTATTGTAGTGCTAGTGTTAGCACTTTTGATTTAAGAAGTGTTTTTCGATGTAATAATAAGAAAGAGAAAAACGGTTTCCCAGATTCAAAAACCCTAAACCCTAATCCTAACCCTAAGATTCAAATAAATTGTCCCTAGGGAGAGTACAGCTGGAAGGGCCTGTAGAACCAGTAAATCATGTAAGATAGAAGTAAAGAAAGGATCACGCAAATTTGATTTGTTTAATTTCCACCTGATCAACTCACAAAATTATACACGTGATAATTATATTGGAGCTTTTAGATTCTAATGGCTTAGTGTTTGTTCATGTTTTGATTACCTTTTAGAGCTCTTGTCATTGATGGAACTAAAACTTCTGAAGGAATTCCTGCCTCACAACTTAAACACAGCCTGTGCTCCATTCAGACAAACACTCTTTGTCTCTATGAAGAAAATCCTTGGCAGAGTCAGGGACGGCAGGTTGGTATATAAGTTTCAGTGTGAACAGTAGCAAATTGAATTATTTGAAGTTATTTGTTGGTGTGATTGCAGCTTAATCCTGTTGAAGGAACACTTTCAACTTGCTAACCAAAGAAAAAAGGACTGTGCTCTACCTGACACAGTGTACATGATGTTTGGTGAGTAAGAGAAACGTATTATTCATAAAAGGCTCTTGTATATTTTAATGTATAGGTTTTTCAAGTTGGTATGTGTAGAGACTTTAAAGACAACGAGGATATTAAGCAGAAGTGTACATAGTCATTGTAGTTCTAATCTTTGATTGAAAGTAGAATCACACATTTTTACTGGTGAGGACACTCACCATAGCCCATCTAGCTTGGTAATTGCCACTGTTCATCCACAATGTGTTTGTCTCTGTCGATATATCACTCACAAGAGCCAAAGGCAATCGATTTACAAGCGTTTAGCGAGTTTAGTCTGTTGCACCAATAAAGAAAAGTCAAGGAATGAGTGAAGACATCTGACAATGTAACTATACTAATTATCCATGTGCAATGTTGTTGCAGAGTTTGTTACTTGGCTATTCGATCTGGTAGTGGCATGCTTCTTTCCAGGAGCCTCCTATCAAAGACAGAAGACTGGTGAGGAGAAAACTCAATATGATAAAACCGCTCCCTGTCCTAATGTTCTTACTCATACATGTATGTTGCCAAATCATGGTCTGAGGGTAATGCCTGTTGATTGTTTTTTACATGTTTTCAGCAATGCACCTTTTAGGGGCCATCTTCGATGTATTTTCACTAAAATGGCAGCCAGACAAGAAGAAGGGTCAGCCACCAGGTATGTATGTGGTGCTTGGGTAGTGCATGTCTGTTTGCACAGATATGTATGGCACAACGGAGTTTCTGTGCTTTCTATCTTGTCTTCAGTTGAAGTTAAATGACAAGATGAGGAAAACATAAGAACACTGTAAGAATGTTTAGCCAATCAGGGAAGATCTAACTCTGACTGGAATTCAGGGCACATTTCCTCATTAAAGTTAATGCGCATGCTTGCCAGGAATCACATCAAAATGTTTGCAGGCATCATTATTTGCTCAATGGACAAAAGATATTGCTAGCAGAACAAAGACAAGTGATAGCGTTCTTCTTTCAAAATATAAAATCTTGAGTCTTTGTACATTTCATAGCATGATAAATAATGTATAGTTTAAGTTTATGGCATCCATAAACTGATGTTAATGAGACCTGAGAGACAATATCTCAAAGTCAGGNGTAAGTAAACTGTTGTTGAAATAATTATAGTTGCAGTAATGGCACATTTAATTTGTAAATTTGTCAAGAGTATGACTTTTGTGTGAAACACATTGGTACATTTCTCTGATTGTTGTTACAATTATATGTGCCTTTAAGGAGCACCAATGTCGGGTGCTATTTGATGCGACTATACAGCACGAAAACGACCCACATCATGTGCGAAATCCAGCTTTAAAATGTTTTCAAACCAGATTGATCCTCACCGTATGCTTTTCTCTTTATTACTTATGTGCTCACACTTGACATGCATACACAGTGTTGACTAGAATGACATAACTGTGAATGAATGAGCCTTTCTAAACTTTTAGTAACATTCCAGTTTTGATAGTATAGTATCATATGAACATGCCAAGCATCATTTTTATTTGAATTGCGAGAGAAAGATTTACAGACGTGAGAGATCATCGCAGTAATGTATGCAACTTGGGTAGCTGGAAATAAAGCCTGAGGGTTTTTTTTCGGCGTTATGGTCGCAGCTGCCTAAAGTGGGTAGATAACTGCAATGATCTCTCATGCCTCAATTGTGTAGCGTGTTCTTATTAGAGAACTGTTTGGCTTACAGATTCGCGATACAGCATTCTACCTACTCCAAGAACACTTTTCATGGCCTCTGATATTGCTAGAGAACGATTCCACAGGCAAAGCATCTGCCAGTATATTGCTACAAAAGGCCTTGACTCTAGTGAGAAGCCCAAAAGTACAAGACTGTGAGAGTGCAGCTGTTATATTTCGACTTATTCAAAGAAAGTATGTTCCACTGAGAAAAATATCATTATATCTTTACGGTAGACTCAAATGTAAAGGTCATAATGACCCTAACTCAAGTTCGTAATCACTTGAAACTGAGACACGCGCTTAAGTTGCTGACATCAAATCCTTTCATAATCGTTTATCTCTGTTGAAAAATGTTGTACATGAAGGCATTAAGTAATTTCAAATCTAGCTGATGTAAGCTGTGTTCTTGATTATTTTTAAAGATATGTGTCAGAATTAGAATGGGACTGTAACTTCTTGACTGTGGAAGTGAAACCCTCCGCAATCCTTGCCAGTAAATCAAGTAGCAGTGGGAAGCTGTTTAGTGTTGTTCAAATGCTGCAGCAACTCTTGGCTGAACTCAAAATGCATGTGAAGGCTGCACAGGACGACATGAAGTTTGCATCACGAAATGCACCAGGCCATGGTAGGGGTCCTGTGGTAACAGGTTATATGACGTCATTGTTAAATGATGATAACGTTTTCATTATTTGTTTATTGTGGGTAGTTTTAATGTTGTGTTGGTTATTATAATGAGCTTCCTACACGCGTCAACGTCTACCCATTGTAAAGGTAGCCTTGAAACACAGTTCTGTTTTCTTCTTATTTTCAATCCAGCTTTGCGTCTGTTATTTATTTCAATGTTGTTGTACAGGCATTTCATTGGCCATGGCACAAAGTGTTGAGGAAACATTCGATGATATCAAGGACGCTGAGCTGTGTAAACTGCGTGGTGTAGAGTGTTGGCGTCAGCTGCAGACTGTACTGTATGACACTGTGGACACTGCTGTTCACATCATTACTGACATGATGGACACGCTGTCTGGAAACTACGGCAGCACTCATGCAAGTATGACAGCCTTGCTATTTTCAGTTTAGATTTTTTAAAATTTGATTTTTAGGAATTAAATGCTGAAGTATACATGTACCTTGCGTACATTCTGCCAATGCAATTAATTAATAGCAATGACGAGATATTGATGAGCTCTTGAAGGGGTTGACATGCACCCCTCTTATACTCTCAAAATGTAAAGTGTAACATGTTGATAGCAAAAACGATGGTAAATGTGGAAGGAGTGAGGAAACTGAACCCGCTGATCAAGCTCGCATCATTAAATACCATCTGTTGATACATTGCACAGTTTTGTTATCGAAAAACTCCAATAATATGTCCTTTGTTTATTTTTGTGCAAAAGGCTTTTCTGTTGGGATGATTTTCCTAGGTGCTTATCATTAGAAGGAATTTTTGGTTTCAAAAATAGCCGGCTTATTTTTGGAAAAATTGGTAAAACACTCAAACTCGATGAATATAAACAATTTTGGCATAAAGTAACTTAATTTTCGTTGCACTTCACCTCTGCTTTATTGTAGTACATTTTAGACAAATTTCTGGTGTGATCATTTGAATTAGTAACATAAGTGCTTTACAAAGTTTCTTTAGCTGACATTTCGAGCGTAAGCTCTTCACTATGGCAAGGATGAAGGACTAACACTCCAATGTGCACTGACGCTCAAAATGTCAGTTTCACAGACTCGCTACTGCTTTTAATTTACCTTTATCAACTTCAAGGTGATAAATAGCAAAGTGTTTGAGTTGCTCAGCGATGAAGCCCGACGGTTTCTTTACAAAGTAATAGCTTAGTTTGTTTTTTTTTTTTAATATATATATTTTTTCCTGTAGTTGGTGGGGCGTCATTTGCTGATATAGGTCAAGCCTTGGATGAAATATTATCGTTCTCAATGGATGTGAGTGATGAGGAAACCAAAGAACCCTTTTCTGTCCAGTCGCACAAAGACATTGTTATTTCATGTTGCTGGCTTCGTATCAAGGTAAGGTCTTGTTTGATAACTGCACACTGTATTTGTAGCTGGTGTTTATAAAACAATGATTTGTGATATGAGTTGAATATGACTAAACCGCTTCCACATACTTTTACACTAACACTCAAAATCTGAGCCAATTTTGAACATGTCTTACATTCACGCCATTTCATATCACTGTTTTCTGCAGTGTGCATGTCAGCTTCTGGCGGTTATCTTTGAAAAGAACACAGTTAAACTTGAGCATATGTCTATGGCTACATTACTTGATGATGAATCTCTCAAGCTTGTCGCAGAAACAGCATGCAAAGTTATACTACAGTGCAGGCACCAGGTACTGCTTTATTCAATCTTGTTTATTCTAATTATTTGTCATTTATTCTAGTTTAAATACAAAGTCTGCTACGGAGGAATTGTAGCATTTGCAGGTGTATTTTTAGACTGTTCACAGCCTTCAATTTTCTCACATTTTATTCGATCGTTGAACGCGCGGAAAGAATCGCGAAAAACTGGACGCCAGCGCAAAACGAGAGACTTGACACGTTAGGCGGTGGGGACCGAGAAAAATAGAAGGGCTTCTGTCTTCTTCGTTTAGCTGGCTTCGCTCGTCAAACCGCCCCCACCCCCGCCAGCTTTGGGCTCGTTTCGCTCGCTTTTTCTTTCGCATGCGTTGAAAAATAGAGAAGCTCCGAAGTCTAGTGTATTTTGAGTGAGGTATTTTTGTCTTTTTTCAATTACTCACCCTTCACTTGATGCAATGATTGTTATATGATACCATTTCATTTTGCAGTTTAGCTTGAAAACTGGAACTGGCCAACAACAACAAAAAATTCGTCAAGGCTAAAGGTAAATAAACGCTTTTACCTTTTTTCTCTCCAGGGTGTCGTCCAAAATTGTCGGGGAAGTTTTATGAGGATTTGCCAGTGTCTATTCCATTCATCACAGCCATGTCTTCACTGTTTGCCAAACACATGGTTAAATGAGATGTTGAGCACAGTGTCTTCAACAAGCTCTGTGACCTCCGTTACTAGACGCAGGTTTGTATGGACTCCAGCTCTATTAATATTCGACAAAGTAGTGATAAACACAAACTAACCAGCTTGAAAAGATAAATCTACCCATGAGAGAAATTCTATGGCTCATTTCTGCTGCTGCCTGAAGTGATCAAGTATTCGTCCCCCACCTGGACGGGATGTTAGTTCTCCCCTGCCACGGCTTTTTTTTGCTCGCCCTACCAATTCACGTGTACTCTTTGATACTTCTACTTGTAGAAAGACACACACACATTATAGGGACTTAGGTAAGGGCTCCAACCAAGACCTCTCAATCTTGACTACCACACACGCATCATTTAAACAGTGTAAAAACTGTAAAGTGTTACTACTTTGTTTCTGAATAAATACCAACCCGAAGGGTATGGCGTTCGTTAGACAGTGCTGATCTCACTCCGAATGTTCGTTAGCTAGTGTTGCTTTGTTGTATTTTTAGTGCTGGGCTTCCTGTGGTTTTCTCGACCATTTTGTCATGCGAACCAACATCTGGACAAAGACCTCTGTTAAAACAGTGTATGGAGTCTCTTTTGGACACTGCAGCATCACCTCTTCCTACTGTGATCGACGAACATAAAGATCTGCCTCAGGTATACGAGTTAACTGCTCCAGCAACTTGTCTCACACTCGTGACTGTTCGGAGAATTAAAGACAGACAATCTGACATAGACTAATTAACCCTTTGAATACCAAACTTTCGTTAAAAAATACCGCATTTAACCGTTTGGTCAGGTTTTTTGGATGCCATGACGCTAAATAAGCGTAAGTTTTGCTAAGAAAACTTTTTTTCCTACATAAGGAGAGATTTTTCGAGGATTACGTACAAAATTGAGTAATATTTCAATTCCGGGCATGCGCCTAAGCCAAAATTTGGCCTTTTTTTTTGCCATTACCCGTTCTCAATTTTGTTTGTTGCCCCTTTCCTTTCTTTTAATTCTCGTCCCTTTTACTCTGGCTACCTTTTGCGTTGCATGTTCTTTCTGGCCGCCGTGAAAAGTTGGATGTTAATTACGTGCGAAGCTTAGAAATGAACAATGATCAATCATAGGCATAGTGGACCATTTTACCACCGTTTTTGCACCAACACTGATAACGTTGTCTTTCGATTTGTGACGTCGGAATGTCGTCGATATCTAAACCTGACCAATGTACGGAAAGGTCTAGCCTAGTTCTCCTATCTGCTTATCAATAATATCTGATGGCATTTAAATTGATGACGTCACAAGTGAAACAAAGAGCACGACCATTAATTACGCGTATATGTGTACTTAGGGCTCAAAGGGTTAACTTGTGATTAACTTTGTGGACAGCTGGTTTGTGGGTGTTGTTGAAATTTCTTATTTAGACACTAATGTTTTACTGGAAACTACACCACTCTTAAAATTCATACGAAACTACATCCGGGACCCGAGTGGCGTATGTGCCATATCCTCACTGGTGAGGATATTTCTCGCTTTTTCACGGTTGTTTGCGCGAACTGTCAGTTTGTCTGTTTAATAAAAAGAAAATTACACGGTGGCTTGAAGATATTAATTTTCTTATCTCGTGTTAAGAAAAACATTGTACTCGCTCGCTGTCCTCGTTCGTAAAATATTGTTTTTACTACTTGAAAATAGAATTCATATCTTCGTGCCGCCACGCAATATCCTTTATATGTCAAAATCCTTACGAGGTCGTTATACACTCGTGAAAAACATGATCACTACATGAACTGAATGAAGTTCTCTGTTCGTTGATGATTAGAATCTGTCGAGACGTACAAGAAGTAACTCTTGCACTTTCTTCGTTTCCAAAAAAGTATATTCAAAGGCAATTACTGACAATTACGTTGAATGTTGTTGTTTTTTAATCGATCTCTGGTGGTTTCTTGACAACCCAGGTACACGCAATCAATATTCTCAAAGCTCTCTATCAAGACACTTCTCTTGGTTGTGGAGTTCTACAGTACGCCTCACAAGGAACTGTAATGGCTGTCACTGGCTTTGCATCCTCGTCATGGGCGGTTAGAAATGCTTCTATGCAGCTGTTTGGTAAGCGAACCAATAATACCATTGCAGGGTTTCCACAGGTCAGGAAATGGGCAGGGAAAAATTCTTCAAGGTCGGGGAAAAGGCAGGGAATTATATTTTGAGTCAGGAAAAATTGACATTTTGAAGAAAAGTCAGGGGAAATGAAATTATAGCACCGCTGATGTACTATCATTTTAGGTTTGTTGGCTTGACAATGTTTCCCGAAGAAGGTCAATTTGTGCCAATCAGTATAAATGAAACATAGAAACATCAAAATAATGGGTGGAAAGGACGACTGTTAGGGGAGGCTGAAGGCCGCTCCTCTAGCTGAGATTTTGTGGGTTTTTTTAGTCAGGGAAATTTAATTTTTATCAGAGAAAAGTCAGGAAATTTTTAAAGTTGATGTCTGTGGCAACTATGCATTGTATAGCTTTGAGTACTGATTTGTATTTGAATAACAACGCAGCTTGTATAAAATGACTCTGGTTGTCAACCTCGTTCCCAGGGTCTCTCATCTTACCGCTTCCAGGGGACGGTAAGATGAGAGACCCTGGGAACGAGGTTGTCTGTTTGTCTGTTAATAAATCCACTGATCTCCCATCCCATTCTTCTTCGTGATAATTATCTTAAAATGCATCCAGTAGTTTATTTTCTGTACACACCTAGGAAGGAACCTTCACAGATTTAATGGGTGAATAGTGTTTAACGCGTGATAACATAATATTCTGGTGTACTGCCGCACTATTCACGGATATGTTAATTTACAGGTTCCTTGGTAAAGCGAATGCTCGGTCAGCGGCGAGGAACAGATGACGACCGTGAAATGAACGCAATCAATGCCATGGACTTTTTTAACAGCTATCCTGCTTTGCATAATTTCTTCCTCAGTCATTTACAAAGCACATCAGATTCTGTTTCTAACACCTCGCTGTTTTCACCAATGTCAAGACCTGAACTGTTTCCTATTCTAACACTTCTGTCCAACCTTCACCCATGCCCTGAAGCCAATGAAAGGTAAAGTCTTTTCTTAGCAATCTATTTAACGTTTATCCGGAGTTCACATTGCGTATTGAACTGTCGAAACTGTAGTGAATAAATCTGGTTCCAGTCAACTAGCATACAAGCTGCTGGGAGTCATCTCAGTTATTCTGTTGGGAGGGAGAGAGACAGGGTTGCAGAATGGTAAGACAACCCTGCTGATCTTAGCGTGTGTAAGTCGTGTAACTGTATTTGTTAGTAATGTAAGTCGTTTAGTTATTGTAATTTAAATAGTGTAAATAATTAGAGCAATATAATGTAAATAGAGTTAGTGTTGTAAGTAAGCATTGGTTTCCCTTGTGTTATTGCAAATTTTTTATAAAAAAAAAACAAAACAAAACAAAAAAACAAACAAACAAACAAACAAAAAAATGATCTTAGCGTGTGTAAGATACTCACAGATGTCAAACTGTTTCATTCAGTGAAAGTCTGAATAAAAGAGCAATGACTTCTGCATCAACATACATTATCAAGATAGAAATTGTTGACCCTGTCTCACAAATGCTGTGCATGAAACAAAATCACATTGAAACTCAATTTTCCAGTATTTTGTACTAGGTGAAGGTCGCTTAGTACAATTCTGTTGAATCTGTAACTTTTATAGCTTGATAGAGAGTTCCTAAATATTGATTTTATAACTTAAATTCCCAAATTCCCAGTGAAGCAAAAGATGCCTTCTGGTTTGTACATTCAAAACAATACGTGACGTCACTGATATTGACTGTACATTTTAACTTTGTTTTCATACCAGTTCCTCGAGCCTTTTGTCAGGCTTTGTCCCTCATCTCCAATCACTATCTTCATGTCCAACCTATGCAGTGCGTGTTGTTTCTGCGAAAGCTCTTGTACCATTCATACCATGTGAACATTTGTTAAACAAGGCAAAAGAACTGGTAAAGCTCCTGCCAGGGCCTGGGGAGAGTTTTTCACAGAACTTTCTTCATGGAACGTTGCTCCAGATCAGTGCTGTTCTTCAAGCTGTTACGTGGTCTGCGGTAACCACGACTGGCAGTGGTCTCCTAAATGAAATACTGAACAAGAATTGGATATGTTCCTCTAATAATTGCTGTCCTTTAACACGAGCTTCCTTCCTCAGTATTGTCATGAAGTTTGGGCCTTTACTTGGGAAAGACTTTGAACGTGGTTAGTTAGTTTGTTTTTACGTCAACATTTGTAAATTTTGCTCGATAATTTATCATGACATTGTATAAGAAGTGAGAACTGTGATCATGCTTCTTACTTCATCTCGTAAACAGCTAGTTTTGTCTTCTATGTTACAGTTTCAAGTTTGGAGCTTTACCGAGATAAATAACTACAGTAGTACCATTGTTGGCAATTTTTTGGTGTGTTTTTTTTTTTTAGATTTTAAACCAGTGCAGTGCATAGTGATGGATAGTTTAGAAGCATCAGATCGTGGAGCTAATCACACATCACCAGGTGACGCAGAGTGGCACCGTACACTAGTCAGGGCGTGTCTGGAGTGTCAGTTTCATCAGACGTGGCCCAAAGGTGAATATCTGAACAGGACAGTATGTAATAGTAGTTTATTTAGCGACTATTGAACGGTCTGTGTGCTTTTAGACCGGTTTAGCCTGGTGAAATAAATGAAAAGGTGACTGTTACTCACCCCGGTTTTGTTCCAGAAGAAAATTCTTTCAGTATTCTTTTCGTGTTTTTCATATGATCTATTTGAAATTCTAAGTATATGTTTTATATTCGTTAAGTTTTGTTTCTATATTATGCCCATTTCCCTTGCCAGAACTTTATTAAGGAAGATTGTGTTCAAACCAGGTTCAATAGATTTTGGGACAGTCTGCATCTTAAATGTCTATGAGATAGTTGTGATGGTAATCTTTAATGCTTCATCTCTTTTAGATAACAAAACCAAAGAACAGAGAAGCCTGCTATCCCTTCTTCTTTCATCAACAGACAAGGAAAGGAGATTAGCTGCTTTGGAATATTTATCCAAAAAATCGCGTCAAATGCCGAACTCGATCCAAGTCGATCTAGTGGATCTTATAATTACCGAGAGGGATCATGGTTGTGTTGTGGTTGCACTGGACATGTTTGTGGAGGTCTGGGGCGGGTTAGATTCTTGTTTATTGTCTTACGCTGACTTGAAAATCCTCTGGGACAAATTGGCGTCATTTGCTCGTCAGTCACGTGGAGTTAGTGTGGCTGGTAAAGCCATTCCTGCTTACAGCATTGCTCTCAAGCTTATGATCAACTGTCAAGAAACCAACTCATCGGAATTACAAGCGATGTTATCACAGTGGCGTGAATTGATCGAGACCTATTGTCAATGGGAGCAAGATGAAGTATTAAGGCTTGGGACAGTTCAGTCATTACAGTATTTTGGGGTCACTGTATTGTGGTATGTGATGAAGTGTAAAGAGGAAAGTGATCTGGAACAGCCGTGTTTTGTAGAGACTGCCATCAGGTACGAAGAGGTGTTTGGTTTTTGCCTCTCTGAATAGATTGTTACTGAACACTTGCCAAGCCGTTTATGAGCTGGCGAAAACGTCGCACCACTAACTGAATGATTATTAAGGGTGTATGTTATTCATTTTGTTCATGATAAGCAGTCATTTCTCAGACATTTGCTTCTGTACCAAAATGAGGTCTGGTGTAAAATGAGCGTGACTGCATAAAACACGTTAAGCTCATTTTAACTGGATAGTGCACATATTATCTGCAATCAAGTGTCCTCCTAAGCGTATTTTTGTCTTAACCTGTGTTTGCAGTGTTCTTAGTTCAACTCTGTGTTTGCTACAAGATGAAGAAGAGGACGTAAGATCCACTGCAGCTCAGTTTGTCACTTTCATCTCTGAGCCTGCAAGCAGTGTGACCTGCTCAGCGGCCTTACAACTCGCATTTCATTTCATGGTTAAACACTTTTGGTCCGTTCCAGCATGTTGGGTAGCCATGGAAATCATGATACGAGGACACAAATCCACTCAGGATGTCTTGAAAGAATACTCACGAGCGAAGTAAGAAAGCCCTTTATTATCTCAAGCAGTTTCAAACATTAAAACAGCTGTTTGAATTCCACGTAAGGAGCAAGCATCTGTCGTTTTGATTAAGTGGGAGCTTGTCATGTATAGATTGTAACGTTCAACGCTAGTTGTCGTTAGAAGCTGAGTGTCTATTTGTCTGTCTGTTTGCCTGTCTGTTTGTCTGTCTGTGTGTCTGTTCGTCTGTCTGTTTGTCTGTCTGCCT